TGAAGTCTTGTACCACTAAAACACAGTAGAGGGCAAAGTAACTTTTTAGTTCAGGGGTGCCTAGACTTTTTTTTGGTTTGGGAGCTACTCTTCAAATGACCATGGATAAATTGATCTACCTACATTGAAAACATTAAAATATATTTACTAATATAAATGGAACATACACACAATATGTTTGGGTACTGATTAAATGCATGTAGCTGTATGGCACAATATGATTAAAGTCTTATAGTAATATGTATAATCCCTACTTCTCACTATGGAATAGAAATTTAATTTCCTTCAATGCCCTTATCAGCACATCTCTACTAATTTAACTGGACAAAGGAACAGGTATGACGAATGGCAGCTATATTTCAATGTAGCTGCCAAAAATGTGTTGCTTGCCTTCTAACAGATGGCAAGTTAGCTAACAATCTAAAAATGTCCACACATCCTTTGCATGTACTGTACTGTACATTTTATTAGTTTAACATATGGGCTTACAAGAAACATGCATGCTAACCTTTAGGTTGTGTTGTAAAAGCTATATCTGGGTAAGAACTAGACTGATATGGCGTAGGACAGGTCTCAACCACACTTATTAGCAGGTTAGTCAGAAAAAAAAGCAACAGAAAGTGAGGTTTTACCAGACATCGAGTGAGTCACAGACCTCCAACTCCAATTACCGTTTAAGTGCTTTGTGCTCAAATAAAGGAACTTCTGAGGGGATTAACCATTTCACACTCGTGGCCTCCTAACAAAGATGCCAAAAAAGATTCTGATCACCAAAGTCAGTTTGTTACATCAACTTCATGCCTGACCAGTCATCAGATTGTGACATGAGGCATGACTCCTGAGCTGCACGGACCATTTCTTACAGTAGAAACCAATTTTGGTGACGAATGCAGGAAAGCGGCTGACATGTATTTCCCACACTATGATTTAGATTCAATGCCCAATGAAACCAATAGATGGAGCATTGTTGTAAAATAATGTAGGCAATAGTTCGAGTTAAAGTCTGAACATAATTATGATTAAGTATCAACATTTGGATATCTTCTAAACAGCTGACTTCTTATACTTTCTAAATTTTTTATTTAATTCAGACACTTCTATATTATTCATTTCCAGATGTTCACTGTCTTAATGCTTAGCTACAATTGTAAGTTAATATACAATACAATAAAAATACTTTAAAAATAGTTTCCCTATTAAACTTTTCCTGTTAGAAGACAAAATCCAGTTTAAAAGTATCAACTTTTTTTGATTTTTTTTTTTTTTAATCCCTCAAGGTTTGAATAGGGAAACATTCCACATTTCTTAAAGTGGGTTTTATGGGTGATCCTAACTTTAGATAAGGCTTCTCTGCTCCTCCAGTCTGACATCCAGCTCCCCCAGCAAACTCTGGTTTGTTTAGACTAGCTTGGACTGTATATGTGACACTGTCTCGTGATGAATTGTGACCAGACGCCGCAAAGGTGAATCCAGTGATCACATGACAGATTTACTGGACAAAACACAAACGTTCCAGACTTCTAAATCCACCTGCCACATCTCAATGACACCAGCACTGATCATCACATGGTTCATATACTGACACCCTCTAGTAACGATCCTGAGAACTAACACTTGTCTTTAGTTTTTTTTTTTTTTCAATGTACGTGTTTCATTGCCTACCACTTGACTATCCATCAATCATAAAGTGGAGCACAAATGTTTCCATCTGCCCTCACTCATATCTACATCCATACCTCCCCTTCATATCTCCTAAATGAGGGGGGTTGGAGCATGGGGTGGGGTGGGGGTGGGGGGTAAATCACAGGACTCCAAAGACAGCTGCAGCTTATAAGGAATGTAAGGGGCCTCAGCCAAGAGAGCCGGCAGGGAAACCATACCATATATGGCAACAGAGGCAGAATCTAATTTTTATCAATGAGCGGTGGAGGCTAAAGAACAGTTTCACGTGCGAAGGTTGATCTCTCCGCTGGTACGGTACCTATTCGTTAGTGCCTGGTAAAAGACGCAATGGGAAACAGGCCCGCAAGTGTCATCTTCAAAGTGAGGGAGTGGGAATGGGGGGGGGGGGTCTAAGCTGTACACAACAGAGAAGCATGTGATTTCACAAGGTGTGAGCAGTGAAGTGTGTCTGCTGATGACTTTATTCGTGTCTTCAAACTTCAACAACACCTACAGAAACACCACAAGAACACTCTTCAGTATGCAACAGCTACAGAGAGTGTAAAAAAAGGAAATATATATATATAATTAATTAATTAAGGGTTAATACTTAACTTATTGATTTAGATTTTTAGACAAATTATGATGTGGTAAAAAAACAGTTTCTAAATTTCTGGCACATCTTATACTAATGCAGTCACTCCAGCCCAGTAGGTGGCAGTGATGAGCCTAGAATTTGTTTGCTAGCCTGGAATTTATTGTGTCCTGTCAGCACACAATAGTTTTATACATCTTACGATGGCAGCTTAAATAACAGCCTGGTTGCTATTTCATACCTTCACATCAGTTCAAAGCTACATTGTCGTCTCTAAAACACCTGATCCTGGGAAAGGGGGAAGCCAGCCCACCATAGACAAAATGTAAATATAGCTAACAATTTATATATATATATATATTAAGCACACGATCTTTGGAAAAGTCCCTTCGAATTTTGTCCAGAATCATCTCAAAATCAAAAGTTCTCCATAGAGAACACACATTTCTCATCCCAACATAACCCAGACCTGCTGTGATTTATATTGAAGAGCATTACGAGGCCTTCCAGGACAAGAGGTCAGAAATGTAAAAAAGCTTGTTTTTCTGTAGAGCGAAGTAATACTCCACATCTTATCTGCTCATCCCTTTGGTCCAAAGTCCCTTTGAAGCACTGCAGAGAATGTTGGATATAGTTTTAAAATACCATTTGAACCATTCCCTTGATGATATTCTCAGAAAAGGGGTCAGTGGTTCTAAACTGTTTACAACAAAACAAAGATGGTCCTCAGCAGCTGTTTGTGGACCTGATTAATTTGTCCTCCTTATGTGCCTGTCTAGACCTTAGTGAGTCACATCCAGCAGCACCTTTTTACAAAGGAAGTAATAGTAATAACTGTGTTTGATTTGAGAAACCATTCCTGCAGTCTCACCAGCAGAGTACTTTTTTTCTTTTAAATTGTCCATGGTAGCAGACATTCTGGTTCTTACCTTAGTGTCACCCATGCTCTCAGACTCTGACACCTGATAGGTGAGGTCTGTCTCCTCAAAGCCTGTAGCACTCATCCTCTGGTCTGTGGAGGGGTCTGACCGTGGAGGGGAGTCCGGTGAGTTGAGGCATGTTTGGATCAAGGCTTTGCCCGTCTCACTGGTGATCATCGGCTGAAGTTTGCGAGTGGCAAATGTGTAAACGTGGCCTGTTTCACTTGCCACAAGCAATAAAACCTGGGTTCCTGTCAGTGTAGAGAGCTCGTACGCCTGGGAAAAGATTTTGAAGAAAAAAAGTCTCATCACATGAAGGTATTAAAATGGGGAAATGCAACACAATCTGTAAAGTAAAGCCAAGGCACAGAAAATGCAAATATCTAAAAATATCTCCAGGGTGAAACCTGAGGTATGGCACAAACTGGGCTAAAATAACATGTGATAAGGCTCCCAGAATAGAGCGCGATTGAGCTGAGAGACTGATTGCACTGCGGAACAGGCCGGCACAGAGGAAGGTAGTAGCCAACTGTTGACAAAAGGAAGGACAAATGATTTTAAACATGTAACAAAACATGAGGCCACCATCACAAACACACTCTGCCTGCTGTGTAATAGATGACAATGACCAGAGCCTTGCATTCATTTTCTCTCTCAAAGATGACTATCACAAGGAGATACAACTGAGTCATAGACACAGGTGTACAAAGGCTAGTCAGAGTGAACTCCTGAGGAAGCTCTTTCATCTGAATGAGTCATTACTTATGTGAAGGATGCTCACTGCGCTGTAACGGCATGCTGCCATTACCATCACTTTGGTCAACAGTGCAGCCTGAGCCCTCCTGATCAATGTGCAATACTCTGTCAGACAGAGGAGCTGGAAGAGGAGGAGGAGGAGGAAGAGAGATATCAGATTCAAATTAAAGGATTTTATCGACCTGGTTTAAAACTTTGCATCCACTCTTGCTCTCTCTTATTTCAACACAGCCTTCATTATGGACCATATCAGTCCATGGGCACGTGTCAGCTGTAGCCGATGACACAACTGCCTTTTGTGTGAACTACACCAGCAACATCTGTAGTGGCTCGATGCCACGCTGCACGTTCTCACCGACACTCTCCAAACTGTGTGCGTGCTATGAAGGACAGTGTAAACAATGCAGCAGGTTTGTCGGGCTGTAATAACTAACATCAATTTAGGAGCAGGTAATGGAGTGTTCCATTCTGTGTCACCATTTACTTTGATTGAAAAACAATATGTATGATTTGCCAGCGTGCGAGATAAAGATGGACTAATTCATCAGTTTAAGTATGTGCTTGGGGGTAGCACAAACTGGATGATCACAATAATTTAAGAAGTTTTCTTGCTCCAGTGGTTCCACATAAATATTCATGACTGCTGTGTATGTTTGTTCAAGGATTAATTTAACCGGTGTTCTCTGCCTTTCCTGCTCAAACTATGCATTAGAAAAAGAGAACACAACACAAACATATTCATCAAAACTGAAGGTTTGTGTTTAAGGACGAACTAATCTGATAGTGAAAATTGATAGGTTTTTTTTTATATTGACTACAGATCCAGATCAGGTATCAGATAACAGGACTGATTGATTCTTTAGCCGACAAGCACAGCATGACCAGACAGAGCAACAACATGGTGTGTGGCAATTAGTCAGCAGTGTGGCAGTATTCTAAACTTGCAACACAGTTCCTTAAAAAAAGTAAAAAAGGTGACATCACAACAAAGAAGTTACGTAGCAGAAGCTAAGACGAGAAACCTTTAAATAGAAACAGGGAATATGCTAACCAAATTTTTCACTGCCTATTAGAACATTTTGAGCCAAGGTGCAGTTTCCCCATGCTAACCAAATTTTTCACTGCCAACATTTTGAGCCAAGGTGCAGTTTCCCCATCGCAAAGATATTTTTTTTCTGACACAGCTGTGCCTGAACTGTACAATCAGAAGTGTTCCCATCAGATGAAGACGTGAAGTCAATGAGCTTCACCAGTAATATCTGGAGCTCTCATGTGTTTCCTGTTTCTCATTCCTGGTTTGTGTAGAGTGTATAGATTTCTGTTAATTTGATCTTCTTCAGTTAAGATTAGATAGGTTCATTGTCTGTTTCAACAGTTAATTTTTTAATAAAAATAAATAACAAATCTGTCTTTCTAGTAAAATTTAATTTTCAAGTTTAATTGTTTTTTAATTATTTAGAAACATGGTTCATTCTAAAATGAGTGTGTGAGTAGTAAAATTCACTACAAACTGTTTTTTTTTTTTACAATTCTGTTGGCATACATAAACCCAGTTGTTGTTTTTTTACTAAAAGAGGATTCGGCACTTGTTTTCTGGTTTCTTTCTGATAGTTCAGTTTTTACTGACAGATGATGAGACTTGTGCTGTTTGGATATAAAAACACAACCAATAAAAAAAACATTACTATGGGCTCTTGGGAAAAATGAGTTGCATTCTTTAACCACTGACATTTAACAGATAAACCTTTGCTATGTTAGACATATTTGTACACTTCAACTTTTGATAAATGTTATTAATACAAGTTATTTGCGTTCAATGAAAGTGCTGAGGGTTTAAGATTAAATCTTCTAAGCCATTTTAGAATAATTAAAGTGACCAATAACAGAGTGACAAAGAATCATTAAAGCCAGTGGCTTAGTGACTTTTTAATCTGCTTATCATCAGTTAAATCTTAACAAAGACAAACATTCATTAATAATGGCTCCAGACATGAGTCATAGTGAAGTGAATGCTGGTTCCATTTAGTTTGTTACATTTGATGTTTTCTGGACCAAATATTTCCATATTTCCTTCACTTTGTCCATGAATCTAGAGTTTTCCACTTTCACCTCTTTTCTGGCAACTCCATAATAAAATTCTAGAAAACTAAACAAAAAGAGAAGAAGAAGATTTCTGTGTGTAGTTTTCATCAATTCCTGCGAGTGTATCAGCGTTGTGTTCATCAAAACAGCCCCATGTTTCAGTGACCATTCTCTTTAAACCATACATCATCGCACCAGATCAAACTGGCATTTTGGTGAACATCTCAGTCTCTCTTTTACTCTTCTGTTACATACGTATAAGCGCAACCCTTGGCTCCACAAACCTTATCCTGCCTGCACTTCTTCACTCTTCTCTGGACTGTTGGCCTCTTTTGACAGTTAAGCCTGGGTATTAACTTATCTAACTTCACTGCCTCAACTTTCTACATCTTCTCCTTTCCAAGTGCTTCACTCTATAAAACGACTGATCTTATTACAGAAAGAACACAAATGTAAAAAAAAGCCCATTATTGGACAAATAAAGAGATTTGGACCTTGGATATTAACCCCAATATCCTGCACTGCAGAGGTAATCCTGTCTTTAAGCCTAAGTGTAGGGCACACGAGGAGAGACTTATGACATCATTCAAAATGAAACCAGGTTCTTCCACTTTGCGACTGCACCACTGTGAGTCTTCCCACTCCACCCACTTGTCAATTTCTGTCATGGCTGCTACAGTGTAGGCAACATTTTCAAATGTTGAATCTCCATCTCCACACTGTGTCAAACTGTGTTGGTGCTGAAAAGAGCCCACGTAAAAGACACCCCAGTTTCCACGACAACAGACTTAGACACATAAAACTAGAGAAAATAAAGCAGAGTACACAGAAAATATGCATCCAAGTAACAAAAAGACAGATGAAAGTGATTAACTAAGGTCATCATGATGAAAGCTGTCCACAAACAATGGCTGTGCCTCTGGTCATCACCTACGTTTGTCTACACACAATCAGTCTTAGATGCCACATAGACACCAACGACTGGAAGTTTGACTTTTTCTGTGAAACATGTCTTGGTAGTGCTGACAGCGACCAAAGCATTCATGATTGCCACAGAACAAGTTCTGTCATCTTTAAAGCCAACTCCTTTTATACCACAACTGACTCACACAACTAAAACCTGCAGCTCACAACACACAGTGCCACTGTGCATGCACGGTGTCACTCACACTCTTCTGTCCGAGTGCTCTCTGACTTATATCCTTAGCTGTTGGCACCTGCAGGCCCTGCTGTTGCTCATCATCACATGGCTGCTGCCTGCAAACAAATGTTGCCTCACAGGAGCCGACTATGAAGCCTGTGCATTGATGTAAGTTTTGCAACAACAGCCAACAGTTCATGGTTTTAGTACACTTAGCCTGCACCTGTAGAGGGAATTGTGTCTGAAAAGGAGAATTCACTTTTTTCTTCTGCTAGCATGTGAATTGTGTGCCTCTTGTCATGTATCTGGTAGAGGTGGTCAATACAGGCCGAGTCCTATTTCAGGGTCAGGTCACATGCATTCAAGAAGTAATTTATGAATAAGTAAAAAGTTTCCCAATACACTACTACACTACTTTTCTAACACATTAATGTAAGTCCTCAGAGCAAACTCATTGCTATAACATTTTTAAATTATTTTAGCAACTGTGCTTTCACAATTTGCCAGGAACAATTGCGTCACCGTCTACAGTGTACTTTAATTGTATCGATTAATTGTTCTATTGGTTCTCTTTCACTAACAAATATTTCCTCTCAAAACATGCATCAACGAAGGAAAAATTGAATTTTAATTTAAAATGAATGCCCATTAATTAAACTAATTAATGCTTATCTAACTTGTAAACTCTTATAATGGACAGCACAGTGTTTTAGTAAGGATAAGTGAAAATCATTCTTTCGTTAGACCTGAAATTTGTAGCTGTGCCCCTGTTATGCCCTGCAGATATTATGGATGCTCACTAAATAGACACTGACACTGAGAGACACACAGTTTAGAAGCTTAAAGAAGGTGGTACGTTATTCACATTTATCACAGGTAGAAGGTTGAAGATCCAGAGACATAACACAGGACTCACCTTCTTCATAATACCCGTCTTCCTCTTGCTGAATGTCGTGTACCGTCTCAACTTATTGTCAATAAACTCCATCTTTATCTTCACGCGCCCCCGTGTCTTCTTTCCCGGCTTTGCACCTACAACCCCGCCGGGCACAATGCCGTAACCTCCCGGTGGAACGCCAACCTCCTGTCCCACCACCGCAGCCTCCATCTCTCCCCTCTCTCGCTTAACCCCTCTCCTGCTGTCCCCAAGTGAACCCACTGGGTCATCATCATCCCCGGAGTCCGAGTCAATGTCCGAGCCGCTGCACAGCGGAGCGTTCTCTCTCTCATTGTCGAACCGGGCTCCGTGAGGTAAGACGACCCCTGCATTTAAGCCCACCATGTTTCCCTGGACAGCGGTCTGCAGAGTAGTCAGCCCTGTGCCGTTTCCCGGCCGTGCACCTTTTGGACCACCTGGACCATTAGCTCCAAGCATCCTGTTGCCGTTTCTGTCCCCTTGTCGCACCTCTAGGCTCTCGCTGCTGACCCCCGGTAAACCTTGCACTGCTCTGACTAAAACTGGACGGACTCCGCCTCCGACAACCCCCGAACAGTGTCCCGCGGTTCCTCTGTTAGAAGATGACCCGTTTCCAGATGGTGCTGATCCTACCTGGCTCGGTAACATTCTATTCAATGGACCGAATCTGTGGACACCAGCCCAACAAGCTGAAGAGCGTGGTGCGGTGAATGACTGATAAACGCATACACTTCTGCTGTACCGTGAAACGTAAACAAAAGAGGCAGGCAAATAGTTTGGAGACTCCAGGAAACACTCGAGACAAACTTTCAAAAGTGGTGGTGACCCCAAAACCGTCAAGCCCCGGCTCAGCTGCTTCACACTCCTCCTCTATATCCAAAACTATGAGCACTTTCTCAAAAAGGAAAACGCGTAGCACGCCATTACATCCACGTCCGCCACGTCACCTAGTCCGCAATTGAAAGCAAACACAAGGCGGATACCAATGTCATAGTCCTTTTTTACCGATTTATACTCGATCATTATAGCAATATATACATAGCTGTCCGCATAAAACATTTTTAAATCATTTCTATTAAATCACAGATTTCACCAGAGGAGTGATATCCCAACTGTGGAACTACTTTCCGCCTTATAAAGAGATACGATGTTTCCTTATTTGGTGGCGTCTCTCCTTATTTGGTGAGTCACAACGTCGTCCACTGATTGGCTGGAGGTTATGTGAGGTACGCTATGATTGGTCAACATGACTTCCTCATTTGAATAAATACCAAAATGGTTGCGCTACCGTCGACGTCACTGTGTACAAGCAGAGGCACTAAAATAAGAGAACATCCAACTTATTTTGAATTCCCAACAGGTTGCACCATGTAATAAAACCTTGTTTTCTCAAATATTCCTGCCAACAGTTCTCTTCGTATACCACTAAAGGCAGAAATAATTTAAACCAATCCTCATTGTCCGCCCATTTAAAAATATTTAATGTTTAAACAACTCTAAATACTCTTAAAGTTGTACTAAAATAATTTTAAAAAACATGCTTAGTCATTTAAAATATATATTTGAAGTGCATTCTCCTAATAAGAATTGACTGAAGTTGGTTTGCTTTGCTGTCTCATGACCGTACACTTACCTGTAAGAATTCATACAGTTTTTTATGATGAATATCCAAGTTCTACATGTCATCTTTTTAGCATCAGAGGGGTTCTTCCTGATGAAGGTGGCTGGATGACTATGTTGGACATCATCGTTATTGTCACTTCCTTCCAAAGCCATGAAAAATGAAAAAGCAAGCAATTTAGTACAAAGGTAATGACACACAGGTGTGTACAAATATGTAGTTTCTGATCTGGACCACCTGTGCACCTGTATCATTTCAAAGTTGATGTCATCTGTGCTTATTCAGACAAAAATATATATATCTACTACTAGTTCTAAGGCTTACTTCGAAACAGACAAAAACCATTTATAAAAACTTTAAGACTCCCAAGGGTTCATTATAAAATTCATACTGGTAATGCTAGTGTGCCAATTCCCTCTATAAGTCCCCCCCAAAAATTCTACATAACACATTGCAACAGACTGACTTTGTTAAATAAATATCAACATCCTTATACGGGCTTAAATTAAAAAAATACTTTATATTAGTTTTTTAAGTTTCTTTTGGGTGACATTGAGGTTTTAGACATTAAAACTTCATGGTACATAAAGGCCATGTGGTACTAATATACAAAAATTTAGGCATGTTTAAGGCACTGTGTTCCTCTGAGTGAAGTCACAAAAATGAAAAATCATGAGCTATACAAGCAGCCACATCAAGTGCTTTTCACCCCTGTGACATTGAAATCAAGGCACTCAGATATGCGTCAGTGTGCACCACACCATTTATTAGTTCTTAATGTTGCAATAAACCAGATGGTGACTTCAGGCAGGTTAGAACGAATGCCACATCTGAAGGGTGTTTTAAATGTGGTTTCAGATGCAAGACTTTTTTTTGGCAAGAGGCTACGAAAATATTTATTGATATACGTAGACTGTCATGCTACAAGGCGATTGATTTATGAAATTGTGTTTGAGTCTAGATAATGTCAGTGGCATTGAATGAATATGCTTGATGATGATCTAATGCCAGAGTGTGATTGTTCGGTTTCTTCTTACCAGAATCAGACTGCAATGTACACCTGTACTCCAACACGACAGGTTCGCATCACCTGTGAAATATAAGGACATAGTGATTTTATTTTAAACATTGTCACACTATTAGGAAACTAGTGGTAAAAAAAGCTATGTTGTCATTTAATTGTAAACATATTTTAGCAGAAATTAGGCAACTATTCTGGTACCCTAAAGAATATATACATCACCCTCTAGTGGCAAATGAAAGAAAGTCACGAGCCGGGGCAGAAACAAACACACTCTAGCACACTTTCTCTCAAAGATCTAATATCTTTTTTGCAAAACCAGAGTGCAAAAATATCAGGCTACCACTTGAACCTGCAGCTTCTTGGTTTTATGCTTTGTTGGGCACATATTTATAATGTGTGGTTTGTTGATTTTGTGCCAATCAGATATCAGATATGAGGCAGCTCATTGAGCTAATAAATCGACAGCTTGCCAGTTCTAGAATTAGGAACATTATCAGAGTAAACAGCAGCAAGTTCCTTCCAGGATAACCTTGTATTTGGCCTGATTCCTAATTGTAGCCTTGCTGAAGCATCAACAGATCATCAGCTAAAGTCCATTAAATTTCACAGCGGGTGCAGGACACTGAACGAATTGCACGGGTCTCTGTCTTCAAACTTGAAAACTGGACGGATGACAAACGAAAACAAACAAGCAAAACATGCAAAACAGTAAACATGCAGAAAGCTGTGCAGAATGCCTGCCATGAATTGACATTTGTATTGTTGTTCCATTCACAGCATCAATCACCAGAGGTACAAACACTGTGAACCTTTATTGACAGCAGCATGTATACTGTTGTATATATGTGATTATTGTGAACAATTGCTGAAGCAGATTAAAAAAACAGAGGCCCAGGTGCGAGTGACCTAGCATTCATAAAAACAAAACTTTACACTGAAAACAGAAAAGGTATAAAAACAGATTCATAAACAAAGGCCATTGCATCAGATTAGATAATGTAAAAAAAGGAAACAGTTAGGATAATCCTTCATTGATCAGGCACTTAAATGAGTCACTCTTTTGACCTCATTTGTACGTAACGTACGCCGATTAACAGGCTGAACAGATGTGAGGATGGACCAGGAGGATGTGTGTACAAACCATCCATGAAAGTACCTTTTTATACAAAAACAAAAGTTAAAAAAAAATTAAAAAAGGACCTTCATCAGAAACATAAACAGGAACCTGCATGTCCTTCTACACAACATGACAGATAAAGAGGAATAGTCCTTTAGGGAGAAGTTAGTGCATGGCTTCTACTTTATGTACACACTGCGTGGTGTGATGGTTCGCTCTGCAGCATTGCACAAAAATCAACTGGATCAGGAGGAAAACTGGAAAACAACAACGACAGGCGGCATTCCCTGCAACTGAGACGACACAATGATAGTAACGTGGTGTAGCACAGGTGTTCTTACCCATAGGTAGTGACCAATAAGCACCTCAATGTTAAAACACAAACAAAACACGCCTAAAAAAAACTGGACAAAGCCAAATTAGCACAGTCTCATTCATTCAACAGAATCCTTGGCTTTACATTTGGATCTTTAAAAAAGATTGGTTCCTGAAGTGTTACGGTGCCACCGACGACTTTCTTTAAAAATGTCCACATGACAACGGAACCTCCTTCAAACCCACTTCCACTTTGTCTGCGGCATGGAAGAAGTTAGTGACGTGTGCACAGGTGCTTGAGCATGCACTTCAGAGTTGGGCAGGTGCGGGTCGCTGACGGACAGAGCAGCAAGTGTCTCCTTCAAAATAAAGCCGGTGGATCCGGGTTCCCAATAGATGGAAAGTGAATGAAGCAGACGCCTTGGAGCAGTCTCACTCGATTCAACTGGAATGTCCAGTGAAGTTGTTTGATGCCCAACGATCTCTCAGGACCCAACAAAAAAGGGAACTGAAAATTTAAGGATTTTTCTAAAGTTCTAACCAACTCTTATTTAATCTGTGCCAATGACGGCACCAAGCCCAAAATCTCTCCAGGTAGAAGTTGGGATTTTAGTGTGTGTGAGTGTGTTTGTGAATCTGTGCAGGACACGAGGCACCGAGGTTTGTGAGACTCCATGAATCAAAGTGTCTACGGACAGGCAGGGTCACAAATAGAACCACAGACAGGAAGTGAAGGGGGGAGTCGTTCATGCTGCAGTAAAGGCAAACGTAATCTCCTGTCACTGCTTAACACAAGCCATCACACTGAAGTGTCTTATCAGTCATACACACAGACACACATTTTGAAACGCATATAAAAGTGATCTGTTCTTTTTCAAAACTCTTTCCTGAAATGTGTGGGACTTGAATCCAGCATTTTTGTCTCTTGATTTTTTTTTTCATCCCTGGGAACATTGGTGGTTGAAGTTCCAGATTTGGACTGGAGTGACCACCGTCTCAGACTTTGCTGTCAGAGGGCAGGTCTCCCAGAGTGTGGACAATATCAGCGAAGGACGGACGCTCTTTGAGGCTCAGTGCCCAGCAGCGAACCATCAGCTTGTAGATTTTGGAGGGACATCCATCTGGAACTGGAAGCTTCAGCTTTCCTGCCTTCAGGCCTGGAATATCAAGGAATGGAAAGAGATGGAGGTTAAAGTAAATTAATATTTCAAACTAGAATCAACAGGTCAGTGGGACCCCTGCCCAGTGACCTTCAGTCCAGCGTCTGGTTGTCTCTTTGCTGCCCCCTGTTGATCATGTAAGGCACTCTCTGACTTTATTAAGAGCCTGATCTGCCATGCTAAGATACTGACCTTCCAGAACCTCATCATCACTGAGTTTGCTGTGGGGCATTTCCCCATGACTAAACACTTCCCACATCAACACTCCAAAGGCCCACACATCAGACTTGGTGGAGAAGTCATCCTCAAACACAGACTCTGAAGGGAGCCAACGCAGTGGGATCCAGGCCTGCCTGTAGTGATAGTACTCACTACACAAACGCACACACACAGCACACAAGAGAAATGACAGAAGAATTAAAGAAAACATGTGCACTTGTCTGGTTAAGACGTTCACAGTTTGAAAAAAATTGAAGATTTTTTTTTGACAAACCTGTTGTAGACGTCTTTGCTCAGGCTCAGTGATGACACTTTGATGCGTCTCTGACTGTTTATCAGACAGTTTCGCGCAGCCAGGTCTTTGTGAACAAAGCGATGATTGGACAGATGCTCCATCCCATGAGCCACCTGGGCACAAATGGAGACCTGGAACCAGAATATAAATAAATAAATAAATCACAGTCATAATGGTCAAAAGACCAGGATTAAGAATATTTTTACAGTAAGTTTTTAACTAGGCCTTTGGTCAGCAATTCACATTATAAACCAGTGAGGAACATCAGTCTGTGTCACGTCAATGGAATAAAAAAGTAAATTTTTTTTCAAAACCACAGAGACTATTTCTTCTGAACTGACTGAGGTTTCCACAGCCGCACACTAAGACTTTTCATCAGTTGCATCAGTTCAACAATTTAAAAGAGTTGCCTGGCAACCTTACAGCGATGACAAAAGTCTTAGATGCTGCCATACCTCCCACCAATGCCACAAGTTCTCCTTTTTTTCACTGCAGAGAAGACATTATGTAATAATTAGTGAGTAGCCAGAAAAACAGTTCCCCAGAAGTAGTCTCTTCCTGGTGTTTGGTTGGACCTGAACAGCTCAGTGCTGTAGGTGAAGGGAATGGAAATGGAGCTCATGTGACAGTTTTTCTGTCACTGTGATGAAATTCATGACATTGCCTGATCTGTTTATGGACCCACGACAGTCTTGGACTGATGGCAGTCCTGGACCCTTGGGAGTCTTACTTACTTTGGTCTTGGTGCTGATGGGTTGAGATTTGATCTTGTCATCTTTATTTCTGGAAATTCTCAGGAACTGCTTCAAGTCACCCTGATTAAAAAAGGAATAAAAAAAACAAAGTGTGTATAACATATAATTTTTTTAATAATTTTAAGCACACGCTACTCCCAACATGGGTCACCGTACTGTACACTCTGCTTTGTTTGACTAATCTGCTCAAATCAAATTTATACATTCAGTCATTCTGAATCAAATGGCATTTAAATCCTCAACAGAGATTCTTCTAGATCTGGACCCTGCTGCCCCCCAATGACTAAAAATACAAATAAAAATTATGATGCAATTTGATTAGACCAAGCTTGTGTTGCAAATGCAACAAGGAGAGACTGATCCTCTTTGCACCACCCTCACATTCTCCTCCGCCACTCCTGATTTTCTCTACACTGTAGTACAGCATCCAAACATATAGCCCTCTTTATTATTGTCTACTGGCTATTCAAGCAACTTCTACCAACTACTACCATATAAAAATAACTACATTATGGTAAAAGTATTATGTGCCGACACTTTTGCTTCTGTCGACTTACCAGGTCATAGTACTCTAAGATCATGTAGTGGGGCTCTGCTTCCCTGCACAGGCCCAGCAGGCGAACGACGTTTTGGTGACTGAGCTTAGCAAACATTTCAGCTTCTCGTTTGAAATCCAGCTGCAGCTGTTCATCTCTGGTCTGCAGGCTCTTCACAAGCACCACGGTCTCCGTCTCACTCTCTTCAATGCCCTTGGCTTTGGAGAGCAACACCTCACCAAACTCCCCCTTACCTACACACAAACACCACAGCACAAAGAAAATGTCAGGGATAAGGTTGAAATGAATCAAGGTCGCTGGTGTGGCTTAACATAGGGAACCATCTATTGTGTCTGCTGATAACTCTGAATAAAGTGTCCAATTTCACTGTTGATATAGTGTTTTGGTCAAGTGTACCTAAAGTGGTGATGGTCTGCAGGTTTGCACGAGGAAAGTGGAGCTTATCGTTGTTGATGTGGCTCTGCCGCTTCTCAGTTGTTGCCATGGTACCCATGTTGGTGAGTGCCACCTCTTCCTGGATCTCAGCAGTGGTGTGGCCATTTTGCTGAACAGCTCCTCCTGAGGAAACAACAAACAAGGCACAAGGTTAAAGGACACGCGAAGGTCGCTGGTATTTGAGAATCTGACGGGAAATTTATTTGTTTAGCAGTTATTTACTATATGCAATCAAACAGGAGTCCTTCACAATACATCAGCTCCAGTAATAACAGATGGAGTCGCTCTGCGTCAAGCTCAAGGTCAGAGAATTGATTTTCAGCATGCAGTTAGTAAGAAGACATGCTTTAACTGGGACCATGTTACACTCAAACACTGACAGATAAATTTAATAGTGTTCCTAAATGAAGCAGTTAAAGACACAACTACAAATAAACCATAATTCATCATAGGACATAAAATCACGGTATCTCCTTTTCCCATTTACTATAATGAAGGAAAACATTTCCTCCATTAGGAATTTGAACCCTAGCCTCCCATATTTGAAAAGGGTTTAAGAACCATTAACAAAAACAAAAACTGTAACAGAATAGCTGGACACTGGCCCAGCTGACGTGAACCGAGAGGTAATTCTAAAGTTTCTTTTCTTTCTAATCTTCAGTTCTATTGACTACTATCAAAGTCATTTTATTATTTATCTTAAAGATATTTTTGACGCTAATCAGGAACGACAATTAAACCTCATTATTTGCCTATCAATTTATCTGAACTATTATTTCAATTTATAGTAAATATGTATTTCCCAAGATGAACAGAGGATGGCAGCAGACACCTTACACTTCCAAACTGCTCATCCGCCAAATGGTGTTCTAGTTTTTGAACCACACACTCATGATCTTTTTATATTGGGTGAATCATCTGTACCGTTCAGACACTCCATCTCCGGCTCCTCTCCATCCTGGCCCTTCGGCTGTCTCTTGGCGTTGCGTCTCTTCTTGCAGTAGAACATGAGACCCAGCACAACGATAATGTAGGCCACGGCTGCTCCCACTGACAGGCCGATGGTTTGGATCATCTTGTAGGGAGCCTTGTCCCCGTCTTCCTCGTTGAACTGCACTGGTTTGTCTGCTAGACACAGGTAGTGATTGTAGTACACTCAAATGAGTTGGAGTCAACACAACGTTGAGAAGTTTTTTGTGTTTGTTTTTTAAATCTTATAGGAAAGCATGTTCTTGTTTCATAATAAGGAATTTGCTGCTTGGTGCGTGAGAGAGTTAAACCCTCCATAGACACAAACCAGCCTTAAATTAAACAAGCTCAAAATTAGACATGTGGAAAAAAAACCTGAGTCTGTTTCATTATTTGACAGAAACCAGACACTAGAAGCAGCGTCCTCACAGGAGAGGAGCTGATGTGTATGTATGACACAGCGCTGCAAACGGATGACAGTTATATTGATCTTCAGTCAGTGGAAAAGCAGCCATGAAGAATAAAACGTTATTAGAACTAATGGCTGCCCATTTCCATCACCACACTGACAGCCGTGACATCACAGACGTGGACGAGGTAATTAACCTGTCAGTATGGATGACAGGCAGAAGGTGAAGGCTTAATGATGGGCTGCCACCTGTGTGTATTCACCATGCTTTCACCTTTCTACATATAAACTGTGCATAGTGTTTGTGTGTGTCTGAAAAACTCACCCACTACATAGAGCATGGCCACGCGGTCCTTGATGCTGCAGCTGTTTCCAGCCACACAAGTGTATCTGCCCGTGTCATCTGTGGTGACATCTCTAATCACCAGTGATCCATTGGGCATCTTCTGAAACCTGAAGAGAGAGAGGGAGAAGTGTGTGAGAAAGGTGAGGACAGGAAGGAACGTAGTTGAAATTTTTTCAGCCAAATAAGAAGTCGGACACAATTATCTGCATAACAAAAGAAAGCTGCCTAATGACTATACACAAGACTGTTACTGTATGGAGTAAATAAATATAAGGTGGAACAGTGATCGCCAGGACTACAGACGCCTAAATTTAGAGGAATCTGTAATTGCTTTGATTATCCTGTAGGTGGTGTGTGGGAGCTCCCGTAAGCTGGTGTTAGTGTCATCAATTTGAAAAATAAATTGTAAAATAAAAATGTAAAAATGATAATAAATTAAAATTTTAACAGTAAAACTAATAAATGCCATTAAATAGATGACTCAATACACTGTATAAAAGAAGAAAACACATGTTAGCCACAACAAAAATACAGCGATTAAAATATCAAATATATAGTTTAATTATGCAAAACAAAACAACAACGTGATATACTATAACATACTATAGCATGGCTCATTAGTTCATTATAAGCCAGGGAATCCAAATTGCGTCCATTCCATAAGAACAGGGTTTATAATCCCTTTTTGCTTCTTTTTTTCTAAGTGAACAATTGAAATAGGAATCAATCCAAGTTAAAAAAAAATCTCTGAAAAGAAACTTTAAACCTAATCACAGTAGGGACAGCTAAAGTGCACAGCAGAGTGTCCCTTACCTCCTGTCTTTGCTGATGTCCAACGTCTTGTCCTTGACCATCCAGTGGATGTGAGGCTCGGGGTCACTGCTGGCCTGACAGTGCAGGACGGCCGTGTGACCCTGATACACTGTTGTGTTCTCTGGATCCACTTTGAAGCGAACGTACACTGTTTGGAGCAAATGAAAAAGAACACCCTGAGCATTAACACAGTTTGTCAGCCACAGCTGGGCTACACAGGCTCTTCTACAGCCTGTGGTGAGTGTGGTTGACATCATCTACAGTCGTCACTCTGTCAACCAACATCTATTAATTACTGGTCTGCAGCAAGAACCAAGAACTCAGTAAATGCTACGGTGTTTGCCACTTGGTATCCGTGATAAATGTCTCCTCTAATTAAACTATCCTCAGAAGTCCTAAACCCTCAAATACATCTGGTGTAGTACTGATGGACGTCCGACCACTGTCTTTTTATGATCACTGTGATACTCACCGGCCACAGTGAGGGTCACCAGGGCTCTGATCTCCCCTTGCAGGCTGTTGGTTGCGATGCATGTGTAGTTTCCAGCGTCATTTCGTGTGACTTTAGTGAAGTGAAGCTGGCCGTTCCTCTGATCCACGTGAGGCGGTAGCTCTCCTCCGTCTGCAGGGGGAGACAGAGAGACTGTTATGCGCAGGGAAAAGAGAGAGGGGGGAGGGGTTGGTCTGGGTCTGCTGAATGTTGTCATGGACTACGTCGTGGTACAAGCAAATAAAAGCGTGGCATTTTTCACAATAGATTAATCTTTCTGTCGTGCTGTTCTGTGCAGATTCTGTGCAGGTTAAAACACATTCTTGTGGGAAAACATCATTTGTCTTATTTAGCATTAAGACAAACAAAGGTGCAGCTGCTTTCTTGATGAAATATTATCTTTAGCAACAGTCCATATAGATCATCATGTTAGTGATGTATAATAAGTCGAGAATGAAGGAATTTACTTTAAAGACAACACCTGAGGGACCTTCACAGAAGTGTTTGATATGCAACATAAGTCAAAAGTCTTTGTAGATTTAGGGTGGACGTCATTAGCAACAGGTAAGAAAGCATATCCTCAACAAGGACATAATAACAAAATCTGAAACAGCTGAGGGATGTGCCTTAACATGCTTTAGTTACCAGAATAACTGTTAAAATGACAACATCAGTCTTTTTAACTTTGGCTCATAAATGGTGTCACACCTGCAAACAGTGATGCTGCTTTCTGCTGAAACTATTAGTTCTAACTATTACACACTTAACATCCAGGGATTCTACCATTCTTCCACTTTTGATGCACTTATACTTGTTACTTAAACACCGTGCTGGAAAGCACCTCAAGGTTCAAACACCCATCCAAATCCAAGCACGTGTTGTCGAAAGGCTTTCCTTAACACATCAACTGAATCTGATTTAATAATTATCCCTTCACGCCAGTACACTAAACATATAGGCTTTATGTTTGTCAACAGTTTCCAGAATGTTTTCACACTACCTTGGGGCAAAAGCACACTTACCTGCTTTAGTCCAGCGGATGGTGGGAGGCTCCCTGCCTTTAGCAGAGCACTGGATGGTGATGTCATTGTCCAGCTCCAGGCACTGAGAAAGTTGTGGGGTTGGAGTGAACTTCAGTTTTTCTAAAACACAAACACAAGCATCACATACGCACAGAGTGAATACAAAGCGTGGTCTGACTCATATCAAAGCCTCTTTTCTGCCAACCTACTCTGCAGAGGTAATCTCTAATCTGATGAAAATCATGTTCAAACACATTCAGGCAAACGGGGTCAGAGGCACATGTGTTCACAGATCTGATTGAGTACAACAAAAGTGAGGTCTATCTGTGGTGGGGATCGTATAAACAGGGATCGGCCAGACAAAACAGAGATACGTCAGGCCATTTATCACAGTAATTGTGTAGCAGCAGATATGGAATTTGTTATGCAGGTAGAATGGTGGTTGGAATAAAGCTGCCACACACGGAACCTATTTGATACCTGTGTGGGTGTCCCGCAAGAGGGTTGGAGCCATGGACATTACCGCAATTTAAAGATCTCGCACTTTTACACTCATGTATAGGCGCACAACCCATCTTGGAGCAGCCAGTCTGACAGTTCACACAGTAGTCAAACTGCTGCCAATAAATGCTGGTTCAGTTCAATTTAATATCTTTAATTTCACAGTCACACACCTGCACTCTAACATGTCACAAAAGCTGCTGTACAAAAGTTCCTCAGATGCAGGGATAAATAATAATAATAAAAAAAATGGATCCCCTGCTGCTTACCCAACACAGAAACTCTAGCCTGTCCAGTCAAACGACCAGCAACGGTCTTGGTTTCACAGGCGTATATTTGCCCATCATAAACCTCGACATTGTTGATCCTCAGGGTGCCGTTAGGGAACAGTTTAAAACGAGAGTCCTGAAGAACAGAAAAAGAATGTTTTGTTATTTTTTAAATAAATGTCTTTGTTATGTTTTAGATTTGAAAGATTTGAAATCAAGTGCCTTTGAGGACTTACCTCAGGTGTGACCATGATGTTGTTTCGGTACCAGGTGACCTCAGGTTCAGGGTTGGCCTGGGCGTGACAGTGAAGGTACCCTGGTTTACTCTCATCTAAAAAGCTGTCCTGAGGCTTTGTTACCCACACAGGGGCAGCTGTGGACACACACACACACAGATAGTCTCAAACTTAGGTATTCTTTTTTTATGATGTGGGAGCTTTTATCAATTTTAAAAAATATGCATGGTTTCCTCAGAACTGAAGCAACAAATGCTAACATTCTTCATTATTAACCATAAACTCCATATGAACTCCTTTAAGCCTTGAAATCTTCTGCTCATTTCTTCTGCCACTGTTACTTGGACTTCTGTTGTTGCAGCTGTCCTGATCGTAACATCACTCAGGTCAGCTGGTGAGCGGAACAGGATTTTTTCGAGGACTTGAACACAACAGCTGTTTGATCCACTTTAAACAGCGACAATCGTATTACTTTCAAGTCAGTTTCTCTAACACTGGTAAAAACCCCTGAACATAACAGCACTACACAATTGAAAAGCGAGTCTCTTTCCAGTTCTTATGAATTCCTCTGTGTCTCATACTCACTGGCCACGGTGAAGGTAACTTCGTGTGTCCTGCGTCCAGCTTTGTTTTGGGCCACACAGGTGTAAGTGCCTGAATCCCCTTCCTCTGTGGGACTGAAAACCAGGTCCAGACCGTCCTGGTAAACTCTGCCCTCCGTGGGGACAGGCTGACCTCCTCTCTCCCACCACACCTTGGGCTCAGGTCTGCCACGCGGTGGCCGACAGGGCACCCTCTGCAGGGTGTCTGCTGTGAAGACCTTTGACATTGTCGGCACCACGTCTTCTAACTCTGTAAAGTGCAGCCAGACATGGACATTATCTGTCAGTGTTCCTCTCAGATCTACAAATGTCCTTCTGGGAGACTAAGAAATATGGACGATTACAAACACAGGCGTACAAATCTAGGAAAGAGAAACCAAAAATGTTTTTCCTTTAAAAGATGACTGGATGACTTGCAGGAGAACGGTGGCAACATCATGAATGAGTTGAAACAATGACCAATTGAGAGTTTAAACTTTAAACTCCAATGCTAAATACTGCTGTGACACGATCCCCAGTCGTATTCCTGTGAGGATTATCCTCAGATTAAGTGAATTGAGGTATTTAAATGGAGCCATGGTTCACTGGTGTAAAACAGTTCTCCATCATTAATCCCAAAGCCTTGGGGGAAAACGAGGTGTTTGAGAAGTGATCAGGACACTGTTCAAGTGCATTGAAATTACAGCCCTGAGCTTTTTTTTTTTGCAAAAAATACTTGACTTGCATGCACTTGTATTTCAAAATGCTGGCCGATTAGTAAGATGAGAAGATACTCTGGCTGGTTCTGCTCTGAGCTCCAGCAACCATTTAAAGCTGTCCATTGGGACTCATGTTTACAAGGGAAGAAAAGGTGTTTCTATGTAAAACAGCTCTGATGTCGGCTGCTGAAACAAATGTTACCATCGTTGGACTCCATCAGCAGGGGCAGTTCTAACCACATCCATGAATACTCTGCGCATTTGATAATTTAAGTCATTGTCAGATGATATCTACAGCAGTTTTCCTTGCTTGTTCTGCCAAGCATTGTTACACAACAAACATTGTTCACTGTGCTAATTATGTCTGGCAGCCAGCAGGACTGTTGGAAGAAATCGTTTGAGTAGATGCAGAGAAATGCTCTGGTAAATGTGTGTTGTCAACACATCTGGGCCGGATGTCAATAAAGGTATGCATTTATCATTAGAGAGAACTGGCTGAGGGTGAAAGGAAGAGAGTGATGAGCAGGAGGAGCTGGAACAAATATGCCTTTCACTCTCAAATTACACAATTGTTGCAGGTGTTTATGTCCTGCTATGTCAACAGCTCCAAAATAATTTGATTATGTGTGTGTGTGTGTGTGTGTGTGTGTGTATACCAGCTATGAGGAGAGAGGCTTCCAAGGTAACCTGGGAGCCTCTGAGGCCGCGGCCGACACATTTGTACGTTCCCGTGTTCCTAGGCTTGACCTGAGTGATTACGAGCGAGCCGTTCTGGAGCAGAATCACTCTGTGGTGAGAAAACACAAGATGTTAAACAAAAGTAAGTCAAAAAGTTGAAAGACAAATTGAAAATAAAAAATAAAAACGATATGGTTCACACCAGGATCTGCTTTTCTGCCTCGTCTTACGACGAGAATCTTTCAAATGTTCTCTCAGTTGTATACAAACAAAAGTCAGATGGAGTGAGATTAAAATCTGCTGCACAGCTTCAGTAATCCTACAGGTTGCCATTCAAGTTGGGTTAAACGTTTGACATTTGTTCTGTTCTATACATTTTTTTGAGTGTTGAAAAAACATGTCAGAGCTGTTGCTGAGAGACTTGTCTTAACAGGTTTTTAAACATTGAACATTATTTCAAATTATAAAATTGCTCTTAAAACCTTTAGACGTGTAGCCTAAAGACAGCATAGAAACAGAAATGGACAAAAAAAAAAAAAAAATTTAAAGACTGATCTCCAAATGAAGCTTGAGGAATAAAGAGCCAGAAGTCTGCTTCACAGTAAAGGGCAAAGCCTGAGATGATTGCTGTTGTATGACCGAGTTTTCACAGAGCTCATGGGAGAAGTGAATAAGAAAGCAGAAGGAACTATTAAAAGTACTGCTGGATGTATTACGGTGGGGGCGGGGGAGGGCTGTGTAATTCCTGACTGGAGTTGCCAAAAGCAGGTTAAACGGCTGTGTGATCTATTCTCTGGAGAAATGTGATATTCCTGTGTCTGTTCTTCTCTATTAAATAGCAGATGGATCAGCACTCTATGAATTTAGGTGCTTTTTAACCTGTGAAAAGTTACTTAGATAAAACCAGTCTTAAATGACTGCAAACATAAATAGCGTTATAATTAGTTTTCATAATAAATTCCACAGCTATGTAGGAGTTTTTTTAATATTTCTTGCTCCAGAATGGTGTGAGTTGACTGTCAGTGTGTTTCAGTGTAGATACATTTTTCAGTGGTCTACAGAACACAGGTGTACAACATTACATTTTACTGCAGTATTTATTAACTACAATCACACCATCAAATATTAGACAACCCGGTAGATAGAAACTACAGTTATGTGACATCAATAATGAGGCTAGGATATATTTTTCTATTGTATTTTTTTTATTTCTTCACATCCCAGTGCTGAGTCTTTAGTGTTGAGCTGAACTCACCTGCCTAATAATTACCCAGCTGACAGAATATTGATATTCGAATCCCTCAGCTTCAACCCCGAGCGAGTGCTTTAATCATTTCTCAATCTGAGATCCAGGCCCATGCTTCACTGTACGTGGAGTGTCTGACTGTGTATAAACACGAGGCGCTACAAACCCTGAGGGTGTACTTGGCAACGTGTGTAAAAATGGGTGATTCTTTAGTGCTTATGTGTTGACAGGGGACATGCTAGTTAGCTGTTTGTAGCTAGAAGGGTTTTTTTTCCCAGGCTGTGTATGAAAGCTGCAGTGCTGTAAAAACATCTGTCATATGGTGAAGGGAAATGCTTTGCTGCAGTGATGTATAGTTGACCACAGAGAAACTTTACAATGTTGTGTTCCAGTAATAACATTCCACAATGTACCATTCATCTAGCACCAGACAGAACACTGAGAGCTGAGAGGTTCCAACTCATTGGGTTCAAAGCTGAACTTTAGATGAAGGTAACTAGAAGAGGGAAATGGACTAAAGCCAGGATGGAGAAAAAAACAAAACCAGAGGAGTAAGATGTAGAGAAGACAGACGAGGACTTATCTCTGGACATACCGTGATTTGTTTGCCAGCAGCTCATTTTGATGAAACCACTCCAGGGTTGGTGCCGGCTCAGCAGTGAACTGGCAGTGGAACATGGCCTCCTCGTTCTTCAACACCACTTGATCTTCAGGAGTGACCACGGCACGAGGGAAACTCTTATCTGTCGCAGATGGGGCACAAACGTCCGAATGATTACATCTGCTATATTTACTGTGAGCTTTATTAAAACCTGCCAACAGCGGGGTGAGGCTGGAGGACAGTCAGGTGGCCTTCAGGTGGTGCTGGTGTGTGTCAACACCTCAGAGGCCCAGGGAGGGACGTTAATGAGGTCAGTGATCAGGCCCTGCAGCATATCAACGCCACCAAATCCTCTGCTTCTTTGTTGGAGACTCATACAGTGACGGTACTCCCTCCAGAGATTATATGAAGTCGCTCTAATCCAAGAACCTCACTGTCACAGTCACTCACTGTTTTGGCTTCAACTAACCTCAGCTATTTCAACTTAATATAGAACAACCTAATTTTACACATTGTTATATGTTTAAAAAAATTGGTCTACTTTTCAAAACTAACTTTTCAAAACTACTTTTCAAAACTAATTTTTCACTTGATAATATGCTTGAAAAAAATGTGTCCAACATTAACTATGTTAGAATATGATACTGGCAAAAAACAGTTTTCACCTGGGTCACTTTCATTTTTTTAAATTAAAACTTTCTTCATTCTTTATGGAATAAGAGCATTAAAATTTTGTAGCACAATTAGAATAAGAGAAGTAGACTACAGGCTTACAACTCCTTTGAATATATATTTATATAATTTATCAGTTATATTAATTTATAATTGAATATTTATCTTTCTTATTTGATGTTTGTTTAGGATAAGCCTTCAATATCAATGGTGGTCTAGATGTGCACTCTTCTATCATGTACGATAGTTAGAAACCTTTCTGGCGACAGGTTTATCAAGGTTGGGGTACTCTGAGACCACCCTGATCGTCCTCAACGTCATTGTTAGGATCTTATCTTCAAGAGCTGTGACCGTGCTTTGAAAACCTGTCTAAATCTGTCAACCCTACCTTAAGGTGAAGCACTGTAGAGTGGAGGGTGGCAACCTGGTAACTGGAAACTCAACAATCATCCATTCTCCCTCCACCCAGGTGCTTACGTTGTGTGTGTGTGCGTGTGTGTTGCAGGTGGCTAATTGGAGTGGAGCAGGGCATCGGGTTTCCTGCACAGATGTGCTGCTGTGTGTACTGTATGAGCTGAGGGACCAATTTCCAGAGAGGTGGTTGGTCACTCACTCACTCACATCCATGCAGTAACACTGACCAAAAAGTAAACAACAGAACTAATCGATGCCTTGCTCAGGTTGTGTGTCTCTATCAAAGCAGACGATGATGATGACAGACAGCAGAAAGATTATTTACCGTAAGCAATGACAGTTCAGGGTTGGTCCAGTGTATCAATGTTGGAGCACATGAACAGACATGAACTTTGTGCTAATTTGTGTGCTAATTTTAATGATCTAAAGTCAATGTCTATGGAAACGGATGGTGATTTTCATTAGTTATAACTATGGTTACAGTAATGTGATGGACATAAAATCTAAAAACTAACACTTCACATGTGATGTCACTTTTCAACCGGGGCCTGACTATACTATAAGTCCAAATCCCTGAGGCATCACTTGTAACCAGGTGTTTATTGTATGAACCAACTGCCATTAATTTAAACTTGATATTTTGAGGCTAAATTTTCCCTATGTACATTTATTCATAAGGGACTTTTCTTCTTAATGTTTTCACTTTTCTAAGGCTTATGTAAGGCCCTATGGTTGTCTGTGTCATCCCCTACAAGGTCCATGTTCAAAGAGACAGAAAAGCATTGGACTGAACTACACTCTGGACTTGGAGCATAGAGAACACCTAGTCCTACAAGACACTTACATTATTTGAAGCAGCAAAATAAAATCACAATATATTACTCTGCCAATATTAACAGCAAGAGTGAAATAAATCTGTAGGAGATTCACTCATTCTCATTGCATATTAAAAGACAGCAGACAGATTTATTAGAGAAAGACTCCACCGTCTCTTCCCTCTCTGTGTGAATGCTTCCGTCACAAACATAAATCATCAGAATGGTGCCACCACTGAGCCGTTGTTGCTATCAGCTCTCTGGATGTTTACGATCTTATTTCCGTCTGTGTGGGTGGCAGAGGGGAATGGTGCTAACACCCGCTCTGGTAATCACATTAGAGACCCCATCCCTATGTCTTCCTATTTTGTCCCAACTCCCTAATGGTCCCTTAATCACTCAATCCAGACCACACTTGCTGGCAGGTGTGGAAACAGAGAGCACAGAATGTCTTTGTTACTGATGTGGCTGTGGTTTCACACATAAACACACACACACACACTGACCGATTATGTTGAGAGTGAAGTTGCTGCTGCTGCAGACATGTCCGGCTGCATTCTTGGCACAGCAGTAGTACAGGCCGTTGTCATCAGGACTGGCGCTCTTGAAGGTGAGCGTTCTCTCCTTGTTATTGATCTGATGGGTCTTTTCCGTCAGCTTCACTCCATCCTTGAACCACTGGCAGGTTGGCCTTACAGAAAGAAGAAGATTTTTAGATCCTCAGTGACTACGCCTCTCAGAGAAGAGAAGAAGAGTCAAATTTCAGTTGTCCTCAGTGTGTCAAACAATAAAAGTTGTAGATTAATCACAATTGATCATCATTAACCTTCCTGAATTAAAAAAAAAATATTCTGGACATGGGCTAAAATATTCAAAATAAATACCCTAAAATACCAGAAAATAGACATGTTTTTTTACAGCGAATAAGGAGTTGTTGTCACGGCGATGTCCCTAACACCTGAGAGCACTGTGGAAGGCTTTCAATGACGGGAGGTGTTCACTGATTTGATTGTTTGTTGATTAAACTCACCTTGGGTGGCCATCGATGAGACACCGCAGTATCACTGTGGAGGAGCTCTCAATCTCTCCTTCTGATGTTGGTTCCTTCAAAGTCACATTGCCACTCTCCAACCCTGTAAAGAAAAGAAAACAGACAGAAAAGTCAGCAGGAGGAGGATAAGGGACGGACCATGACATGGAAAGACAAGAATAACAGCTGAGGAGAAGGACAGGAGAGAAGATTGGATTAAGTGGTTGTCTTTTGGTCCGTCCTTGGTGTGACGAAGGACAATGCCAATGGTTGTGACAGCGCTGTGACTCAAGAGCGGAGAGAAAGAGCAGGGAAGAAACCACACCAGAGGCTCGGCTTACATCAGCATTCCACTGTCCTACACTTACAGCAGAGTGAGCCGGGCCTTTACTGTGCTTTTTATGGACATATAATGGACAGCCCATTGACTTAGTCAGTTAAAGCGGCAACTCTGCTCTAAGAGCAGCCCGTAAACACAGGAAGAAGGGAAATGGCCTACAGATAATACGATCCACTTTGAGACACAGTAGCCTCCATCACAGTCTATAAATTTACCTGAAAAAAATGGTGAGGTGCAACCTTTAATCCAGGGTCAGTGGCGCCAGCATTGTTAGCACCGTCTTAAGTGCAAATACCACAACAAAGTGGTGAGAGACACCGCTCACACATTAGTAATAGGAAACCTGACCAACGGTGTCACACTGACATATGAATGAGAGGAGAAGTGAAGAAAAACAGATGCTGAAATAAAGCCTCCAACGTATGGTTGTATCATCAACTGTTTGACCCAGGGCATGAAGTGCACACAGCATGTCAGAAAAACAGCCAAGTAATATATTGGAGAAGGGAAACATCCAATCATTCTTTGCTGGGTTTTAAACATAAAAATGTCCAAAATAAGAAGACGTATACTTAATCCAAGTCCTTCTATTATAGGCCCACATTTAGCATAAGCCATAAAACTGCTGCATTCGATCTGAAGGGGACAGCATTCACCTCCAGAGGAGAATCACTCCCTGGTGCAGAGACAGAGCTGCAGACCAGGGATGTCTTCAAAGACAATTGTGCTGGAATTCCCCCGATGTGTTGACTAAACAAAGACTTGGTGTTTACACAGTATGAGAACATGGGCTAATTGTTACTTTGGTTGATGATGTACAGTACAATCGTCGACTGTGTGACATGCAGTAACAAAGCACACCGGGGGCGTTAACGGGGGCGTTTCACTGTGCAGAGCATGTTTGGGTTTTATCAGGCTTGACTTTATGGGGATGTTTTTTATGCAAATCTACAGTATATTGTATATGTACAGTGTGTGTGTTCAAATGCACGTGTCATTCCCTCAGACTCAAATGGCTGAGGGCTGAATAGTTTCTCTGCATCTCTGCTTTTCTTTGGCACCTTTATGAAATATGCATGGCATGAAAATCTACCTAAAACAGTAGAACACCTATGTAAGTTTGGGAGCACGGGGGAGTCCCTGCACAGTAATACCCTTGCTTATTAGCATCCCTCTCCAAATGCCTCAACAACTCCAAGTATGTGCTACGGAGAACAAGGAATGTGAATGTTCTGATGCAGGAGACATGTTGTTTGTTTGTCTAACTCTAAGACATCACAGCAAGTCAGTGAGAGAGAGTAACAACGAGAGAGGAGAAGGTGATGACGGCCATCCAGTGCACCGTGACCCTGGGGCCAAACTCTCAGACAGACATGCTATTAGTGCCCTTGAAGAATTAGGGGCCCCATAAACGCAGAAGGGGAAACAATGACTCACTGACTGAGGAAGAGAGGGAAGAGGAGGTAAGGGTGAGAAAAAGTTTGTCAGAACAACAACTATCATGTGCAGTACAACTGAGTCATGTAGACATTAAATTGGAGAGTTTGTTTGAACACGTCCACGGTCGGAGAAACAGGTGGGTGTTTCCAGGTTCAGGTGGTGTCAGTTTGGAGAAGTCTGGAGTGTGACGTTATAGTGGTTTATTTTTCAAGATGGAAAAGTTTTTAAAAAAATTACACTTTTTAACAAGGTATTTAAGTAACAAGATCATTTAAGTATTCACTCAGGAAAAAATGTCAAAAGCTTTATGTAATTTAGTTTTCTTCTACCTTCCTAATTCCATCTACACAAGTGGGCCACACAGTGCAGGAGTGGTTAGGGCTCTTGCCTCACTGCAATGGAAACATATAGTATATGTAACTACAGTAGTTTTCTTTCTGCAGCTTGGTAACAGTTTTTTCCCCAGTCTTTTATCCTAGCTCTTCACATGTTGGAAAGGCTGACAATTCATTGCAAGGCAGCACATGAAGACCAATAACCTTTCTACATTTTAGTTTTTTAAAAAACATCATTCATGACTATTACCATTTGACAAGGCACTTAATATTCCCTGATTATTATTTCACAGATAAGAAAAAAAACTAAAATGTTTCTTTATATAATTTATGTCTAAAAATGTATATCTAAAACACCAACTTGTTTCAAACAGTTCAAAGATAATTATGTTTAAGCTCCTTTCTGGTTTGTGGTTTACTTCATGTCAACACTTAATCTTAAACCTGAATGCCAAAAAATTCTTTTCACTTGATTTCACATCATTTGTGCCCTAGCGGATGAAAACCTACTCCAGCCAGTATTTATATTCCAATTTGTCTCGGATTCCTGATGGCTACACATTCTAACCATTCACTCTCTTTAAATATCGCCATTCACAGTTCAGGTTTCTTCAGCTGTCCACTCCACAAACAGAAGGCGCTCTTTTTCATATCCTATTAGTGGCAAATATTTCCTTCTAATCCCTCCCAGAATGCATGACTAAGTGTTGGTGTATAATTTGGGTGTATAATTATTATGTTGGAGAGGGAACAGGAAGCACCATCAACAAGGATGATAACAGATGAATTGCAAGGATATTGTCAAGGCAGATGCTTGAACCATTCGTGTGCCGCTGTGCCAAAAAGCAGCTTAGTGTCTGTCTGCCTGTCTGTCTGTTCGCTCGTTGAGCTGATCTGTCACAATGGAGATGGTTTGCAAAGACAAAAAAGTGCGGAGGATTCAGTTTTCCAAGACAGTGTTGTGGATAAGATTTGACTGACAGAAACATGTGCGGCTGGAAATAAACCAAACGTAGCAAATTAGTTTTATATCATTAAGTTTGTAAGTAAAAAAAGAAAAACCTGATAAAGCAAGCTGTGCCTTATGCGTTGTGTCAGATTCTATCAGCTGTCTGACAGGGGTCAAGAGTGCAGTCTCCAGACTGTGGCAATTGAGAGAAACGATGCTGCTGTAACAAGATAAAGAGAGAGGAGGAATAAAGACAGAAGGGAAGAGATTCTGACACTGGAACAAAGTCACTCTGCAGGAGAGGAGCTGACGGATGGAGCCAGGGTCGTTAGGCAGGAGGAGCTGAACATCTTCAAGTCACAGATGACAGGAGGAAAATACAGTGAGTTGTAGGGGGTATGACCAAGCAATGTGATCAGACAAGACAGTTGTGTGCAAGGAAGACGAGAATGTGAAGATAAAATAAGTGGGAGGAGGAGGACAAACAGTCCACATAGTATTCCTACTGCATCACACTCTTCTTTGATGCAAGGATTTTCTCATTTTGTGACTAAATATTGACGGTCGTACAAATTAGTGCCTTTAGTAGCGAATGTAAAACAGGACAGGCCTCACTGAAGCACATTTTGTCAGCCAACTCTTGTTACCAGCAGGGGCAAAGGCATAAAGGTGGGTTAAACCTGTGTCAGACAAACAGCAGGGGGGAAATGACTGTGAATACCTCTCAAATTGCAGGATTTGACCACCCACCATTAGAGGAAGACAAATTAACTTGCAGACAGCAGTAGGAGGGGGGAGGGTGAGCAGACCAGACCACTCATGTACAGTCCCTATACAGTACACATGCAATACCCCTCCCCATCACCACCCCCTCTAACAACCCAGATTTACTGCTATGCACGCAAACGAGCACACACATGAGCAACCCCACACAGAGGATTAATGCTGAAGGCGCTCGCCGCTTTGAAGCTGCCCGCGACTTTATTGTCTGTAAAATGGATGTTGGGGAAACAGGAGAACATCAGTCACAACACTGTCTGATCCACCTATAGTCATCCACAGATGATCAACAATAACTACAGAGGGGCGCCAGCGTCCAGTAAACAAAAAGGGAAGAGTAAAAGCTTGGTCAAGGGCTGGTTTTGTACCGCATATTACTCCAGCTTTGAAATACTGTGTGGGTTTTTTTTTTCTTTTTTCAGATAAGTTTCTCCAGTGTGGTTCAAACATAACAGTTCACTCAGAGTTGAGCCTCAGGAAACTATTTTATAGCTTTATGTAATGAGTCAGTTCCTGGTTATAGACACAAAAATGTATTCATTCATTCATGTTAGTTAATGAATCTATATTTAGCTGTGGTTGGTGATAGGGCGGCTAGATTGTGGAGAAATAATCATAACTGTTATCATTTAAAGTAGTAAATACTGATATCTGCATATTTATTGACTTGGAACACATTGGATTTATAGCAAATCATTCACAGCAAATGTGATATTTTCCTTTTTATCTTCCTGTTTAACTTACAGCTAATATCAACAATGTAGGGCATTTCCAGAATTTCTTCAAAACATGAATTACTCAGGAAGAAAACATTGTCATGAGTCAAAATATTTTCAATTATAACTGTTTTCTTTTTCCATTACATTATCAAAATGTGTGCCATCATCTATGTGTATTTTTTCATTCATGTCGGAAAGGCTGACAATTCCTTGCAGGGCAGCACATGACGACCAGTGACCTTTCTAAATGAAATTGACAAATGCAGTCCATCGATCTGATTTAAACAGGAACATGTATACTGCGCCAAGAGTGAATATCAGACTGAAACAAAAACCCACGACTTTCTTTGTGTGAGACATGGCCAGTAACCACAGGCCGACCAGTGTTGTTTCTTTAAAATAATTTGAGGACAGAATCCCTTAGAATTTGTTATATTTTTATCATAAGAGGCTTGAAATGTATGATAAAAAAATCTGCCTGTCACTGTGGTGATATCACAACAATACTGAACTAAGTATGAGCAGAACCAATGTGTTTTCCATGATTACATGTCATGAAGAGAAAGACGATTTGATGGTTAATACAGTTCTTTCCTTCCAAAAGAACGAGAGTCTCTCTTCCAGTGCGTGGGAATGTTAATAACCTGGCAGATAAAACACTTTCTTCTGGGCCAGCTTCTAGGAGTTGTGTTTCATGTCTGACTAGTTTTTATTTTAAACTGTGGGAGTATGTCATTTTGATTTTACAGCCACACTAGAGCCTGTCTAATTTACAGCACATGAAACCAGATCAGATTAGGCCTGGGAAAAACTGATGTTCTTCTTCTTCACTCACGTCTTCTCAGTCAGTGGTCATCATCACACAGCACAAAAATATCCACTAGTGGAGATGTATTGTCGACCTTTGCCTTCCTCCCCCTGTCAGTCCCTCTAGGTTTATATCTCAGTCTGCAACAAGGAGGTCTGGACACTCATCTGTTCTTGCAATCAGACTTTGAACCAATGACAGCGTTGCAAGGACAAAACCTGCGGCCTCCCGGCTCGATGTGGCTACAGAGGACAACACAATCCAGATGGAGCCATTTTTCACCCTTCCTTGTTGTTTGTTTCCCACTGTTGCAACTACAACTACAGTGTTTGCCCGGAACAAAGGCCTTTCAATAACAACTAGTACCTGAGGGGCTTCCACAATACAAGGACAAGGTTGTTTTTGATCCCAGAAATGGCTGTGCAGAATTCCCATGGCATCCTTTGAAACTTTAGATGATAACTGAGCTCTGGATTTGGGTCTAGACACAGAAAATGTACACAAGAGCATACATTGGTTTAAACAAATGGAAATAAGAGAAAGAAATGCCATGAAAATACTGAAACCTGAAGGTCAGACTTTATCTGTGACTAAATGATTATATAGCTCGGAGGTAAAGTGCTCTTTACAGTAATTTTCCGACAAAAGTCTTTTGAGAGAAAAAGGGAAAGGAGTTTGTTACAATACGTAGAAAAAAAAAACAACAAGCAGCAAGAAACACATGCTGGGTGCCACACATATCCAATTTCCTTTGGAGAGAAGAGACGAAGGCACAAAGAACAAGGACACAAGGTGGAAACATTCCTTCAGCTCATACTACCTGTCATCCTATCCCTTGACTTTTGTTTTGCTTTTTTGATCCAGAAACTGGATGCACAGCCAGCCATTAGGAAACCCTGTCATCTGGTGATGTTCACTCAGGAAATCAAAGTTTGTTTGTTTCAGGAGGAAGCAAAAAAGGAAAAGAAACACAAGGAAACACTCACACTTGATATTGAAGGAGGCGTTGGTGGACTGCAGGAACTCTCCCGTCCCAGCGTTCATTGCGACGCACTCGAAGTTCCCTGCGTCCAGTCTCCGGTCCACGGCGGTGAACTTGAGGTTGCTGCCTTCCTGGAATCGCCTCTCGGTGTTTTCAAGGCTCTGTCTGTTGTGAAGCCAGCTGTAAGTGATGTCAGTCGGATCGCTCACCTCGCAGCGGAGCATGGCGCTGCGGCCATGCAAGGCATCCTGGGACTTTGGTTCCTTGGTAAACTGGATGGCAGAGGCCTGGATTGACAGAACTGGAAAAAAAGAGAAGAAGGGAAAGTAAATGTAAGAGCAAAAGAAATAAGCTGCGGTTAGATTTTACTGCTTTTTCCGTTCATTAAGTGTACGCCATAACGACCACATAGGCTGAGAAGGAATGTGATGTTTACACTCACTGTCCCACTGTGAATTACTGTTGTCGTAAAAATGAACAGGGGAGAAAATCTTTTTTTCTCCTAAAAGTGAGATCCGACATACACACAAACCTCAGCCATGTACAACTTAAAGGGAAATATCTTCCAAACAAGACATGATCAAAACACCTTTAATATTTAATCCAGCCTTCTGTGTACTTCACATTTACAAACTTCCTGGGGAGGAGACACATTTTCTGCTCCAATTCCTCACATTTCGCTGAGGGAAATGGAGAGAGAGAAGCAGTGGAAACAGACAGACAGTGTCGCCCGGGGAGGACAGCGGGACATGAAGCAGAGTAATGATTCAGGAGGCTATTAGTCAAAGGTACACACGTCTTTTCACTTTGATCTTCAAGTTCTTTCCACATCACAAAAAGGTGATTCATGATGTTCCTATGGTCACCTGATATTGGATGATCTACAGCTAACACCGATATAAACAGGAGTGGAGGAAACATAAGTAAACTATATTTATTTTACACTATTTGAAAGTCTTTTGAATATGTTTTTTATGCTTTTTTGAGCCATAGTTTGATGGTATAGTGATGTTTTGGGGGGGCTCAGCAAAAGTCATATCCACAAGATGGTAAATTAGTTTGGCGTTTTACTGGCACAGTACAATCTTGGTGTTTATTAGGATTCTTTAAAAGACAGTTAACCAACCGAAAAGACAAACTGAAAGACAAGCCGTCCTCCATCTTCCTTCAGAACTGGAGCCAGAAAACTGTACGTCATTCAATAATGTTTAATCACGGAGCTGGTTGAAGACGCACACGTGTAATCCCTGCGTCTCTGACTCTCTGAAAACACACTGACCACTTTTGTCTCCTCAGCTCTGCCTCAGCTGCAGGTGGCTCCGACTGACAGACAGCTCAGCAGAGAAACAGATAAAGAGAGAGGCTGAGAGACAGGTCAAATAAGGAATCAAAGAGTCCGGGAGAGTGAGACAAGAAGGAGTTGTCCTTAGTTATTCCTAAAGTTATTTTAAGACAAGATGAAAAAAAAAACACCAGCTGGGAAAAAGCATGCCAAATGGATGTTGGAAATCCAAGACAGCTAGCCGCAGCGACAGGTCATGCTGAAGCGGCAGTTGATGACATCACCTAGAAATCATTTGATAAAGAATCTTTAAATTACTTCAGTCCATTTTTTCTTTCTTTAACAAATATTTTCAACGCCCACTGATCAACGTTTTCACCCAGATACAAATCCATAATTCATCTTCTTTCCATCTGAAGTGAACCAGAATTGAATTCCAGCCCTGATGATTTATTACACTATGCATTGTTACAACTCCTTTGCTGTGTAACCACATGGTTGAACAGTTCCCATATGAGCTCGTGAATTTGTTCCATCTGTGTCAGAGTGAGATGAAAGGCAGCGGCTGGGTTGGAAACAGCAGCTGAGGTATCTTCCAACATCCACCTCAATCAATCCATCAAGTAACTTTCATAGACAGCAGTCTGCCGTCATGCCAAACCTACAGCTGGGCCTTATTCTAGCACGCGGACTTCAATCACACTCAACCTTCTGTGAAAAGTAATTTTTACATGTTTGGAGGAAACGCAGAAAAGGAGTGTCAAGTAGCCGAGGGTCTGATGAGACACGTTTGCTGAATGTATGAGTTTGTGTATCGGTGCAGCTGGAGAGAATGACTTCCGGGAAAAGTCCCTGTAGAGACAGTGTGGGTAGATAAGGTGTGTTTTCACACCACAGAATGACAGATGAGAGAGAGAGGGAGAGAGACAGAGAGAGAGAGAGACAGAGAGACTTCCACGTCTTAGGAAACCATCACAAGTCGGTGTTCCAGCAGCGAAGGCACTGTGACCTACATCTCTTCTCCGTTCCTGCTACACTGTCTTTCTAATGACACATACAGAAACAATTTCAATTATTCTACATACATGCACACACATACTACACATTAACAGAGTGACAAATTCCACAGATGTTTCTGTCTGACCAAATCAATGAAGTCAAGCTTTGTCAATGAGTAAAACAAAGGCTGAAGGTAAAAACCTGTCAGAGTGACATTTCAAAGAGATAGTCAGGACAAATGCTATCTGAACGTCAACTTCAGGTTCTTCAAAGTAAAGGAGGTTGAAAGTGAGAGTCTGGTTAGGCTGGTTAGATAAACCATTAACAAACACAGCGTCTGGTGATGTTCACTCAGGAAATCAACGTTTGTTTTAGAAGGACGCGAGGAAAGGAAGCACTGGCCTTCTGACCAGTAAGGAAACAGAAGGATTCTTAAAAATACTTCGCAAAAAACACTGAATATTATATTTATCTTACCGTATAGTGTGACAATGGATTAATGCGTATTCTTTTGGTCTAAAATATATATTTTTGGTACTACTACCTTTTTATTCTTTTTTAAAATGTGTATTTTATTTGTATTGTTGATATGTTGTATTATCTATTAAGATTGTAATATTTATTGTTAATTTAATTCTTAAATTATTTTAACAATTTATTTCAATATTATATAATTTAGTATTTCTTTTTTTCAAGAAATTCAGGAATGGCATTACATTATTGATTTTAATTACTTGTGTTTTTCTTTTTTCTTTAAATATTAATATTAAATAAATTATTTAAGGGAAATCTTAACAGGAAGGTAAAAGGAAATGTAATATTTACTCTTTATTATGTGCAATAAATGGGATGTTTCCAAAGTCACTGAGTACCACTGCTAAATAATCACCATATTAATATTATTATTATTATTATTAAAATCATTGTTCTGTCAATATCAGATGATTACCTTTTTTCCATAATCATGCAGCCCTAGCAAAAATCCTTAATTTAATCTTAAATAAGGAAAAGATGGTTTGTTTATTTATTTAAACCCCGTTTCCCACCTGACCTTTCTTCCTCTCTATTTTCAAAGGTTAAAACAAAAACAATAGGTGTTCTGGCGCTACTTCAGATCAATAAGCACTTACTGAGAAAAGCTCAAGACACACACAGTAATGCACCGAAATGAACCAGGGTTTTCATGAATTATTAATGGTTCCACATTTTCAGAATAGTTTGACTTTCCCTGGGTTTGGATATTGGTATATTGAGAGACAGAGAGTGTGTAAAAGAGAGGGGGAAACTGCTGAGAGGGGTAAGATGTCTGCACAGTGGGATTCTCCTCCTCAACTCACTGCACAGACATCCCCATTAAGCCTGGCTCGGCTGTCAGGGCTGTCAGGTGGAAGTTGCCTTAAAGTCGATCCTGACAGACGGCTCCACCATAATGGGCTCGTCAGCTCCCGACACCTCCCTCTTCTTTCTCAACTTCATCTGCTGGCACTGTGCTGATTCATATTTCACAAAAACACTATACAATATCAACGTATCAGCATGGTGTGAACCAAGACTCAGTTGGGGTCAAACATATGGTACCGTATGTAGCTCTAGGATGTGTATAGTATGTGTTCACACATTACAAAACAGCCGGGATTAACTTTTTTTAGAAGTGCAATTTCTGAAAAAACAAAAATCCTCTTTTATAATTTTCTCAGGGCTTATTACACATACCATTAAGAGAACCTGAATATTTAAGGTGTCAGTGTGGTGCATTATGGGATTTCTTTATTTGCAGACTCTAAGTGTAAAGAAAATGCACAAAACCGTACACTTAGGCCATTTGTTACATACAGTCCATGGTTTAATTACAGCTACAGAGTATCATAAAAACCCACCCACACACGTGTCTATTTATCTCTGTGACGATCACTTTATCTATACAAACACAGGTATCCACGATACCACGATATAACACGTTGACAGACCTCAGCAGGGACGCCACCCAGTCTTAAATGTTGTGACTTATTTTCACACTAAAAACAGCTTTGGACAAATGCTCCTTGTACCTGTCTAAATAAGATCCTTAATTCCTTCAGATGAACTCTAGCATTTAAGATAGTGTCATGTTATCAGTGAAAACTGTGTAATCAAGACTGTGTGTTTCCCTCAGGTCATTACACACCACAATGTTATCTCCCAAACTCTCCCTGAGAGAAGGGCTGCAGGCTGACGACAAGCAGGGATGACACACAACACTGACGGAGCAAGAGGTTAAAGGGGGAGATGCCTACACATGCACAGACACCAGCAGCAGCATCTACACACACACACACACACACACACACACACACACACACACAAACACTACACAACACACACACCCCTCTG